GACTCCGGACGAGCGCGTGGTCAGAGTCCACAAATGTGCTCCAAAACGACCGGCAGTCAGTTATGGATCCGCACCATCGGTAACTGTCCATGATGATCGCTTTTGACCAGTGCCGTGAAATTAGTGTTGTGGCTAACCACCAGGCAGCGAACACCCGGATCAAATTTGGACCCCTAGTATGGAGCTGTTGGTATTTGTGCATTTCATGATTTTAATCGGGTTGTGATATGCAAGGGAATCAGTACCTAGATAGTATGACGATTAGGGCCACCAACCAAACATGTGCAGTACATAAAATGCTTCTTCTGTGGTAACTTGTACGCTGAGGCGACCTTTTGGTCATAAAAGTTAATAATATTGGCATTTCGTCTGTCAAACGACGTCACTCCTGTAGAATTTATATGGTCCTTTCGAAGCCATGATGGTGGTGGAGGGTATTGTTTATGATGGATTCAGAACAAGTGACAGATGCAATCTGAGGTCTTGGACCTGGAAACTGCGTACTCCTGATTCTAGTAAAGGATATGGCATTTAAAAGCAACCGGTCATTCAGCACGAAAAATCACTTCAAGGGAGGCTTATCACCACCTGAATACTTCACAACAGCGCTCTCGACCAGCGAAGACTTAGTGCGCGATCTCATCGAAGAGGCCGGGAATTCCTAGTCCCCAATGGTCCTGCTCGGGGGTTAGTTTGATATAGTACTACATCCATATTACAAATTCACAACAGAGAACTAGCTGTTTCCCGAATAGAACAATAGCTCAATTCTTATTCGTATGCACAGTCATGCAATCATTAGAATGAGGTCGTTAGGTACGTAAGAGCACGGCGCATTATCAAACAATTTAGCTCTGTCGTCTAAATGGAATCTCATTATCATCAACAGAAACTCCAAAGCTGAGCATCAGTGCCATGCAACCAGAAATTATTCGGATACCCTATTGGGGAAAACTATCGAACTGGAAGAGGGAAAATCGCCTGTTGATGGCCTACAATAAGTGTCCTATAGCGCACGCACCTCAACACAATCAGTCAGCCAACTTGGAAAGAAACTGACAACAAGAACGTGGTTGAAATGAATTGGCACGCACATTTCGCAGCGTCTTCGATCAGCCACGAGGAATATCACGCGGAACATCTGGAAGGCTGTTTTGTACCAAAAGTACTCAGATTCCTCATAATCAGTTCTTACCCTTCCACCCGTCTGATTTAAGCACAGAAAATAGCAGCCCCTTCGGCAGCTCATGAATCCATATGCACAGCACATGATCAAGCTACCGCAGCTAACAACAAGTACAACGGGTAATGAAATTACATTCAGAAAATTCGCGGTGATACCCACCTCGTAGCAGCTGACTTTTCAGAAGACATGTAATCCGGAAGGTTCCTGCAGGAGTTGTGTGCTTTTCCATTCCCTCAATATCGTCCAGGTGCAATACGCAGGGTGCGTTGTTCTAAACTAGTGTAAAATAGGGAAACGTGGTAAAGTGTACTTTGGCCTGAGTGAATATATCGATCCAAGCACGCATGTTGGCCGGTACCGTCCCGATTGACACAGTCATGAGTTTTGCACCCAGAGTCTACAGCATCTCAAAACCACGGGCTAATGAAGGTGACTTACTCCACATACGGCCTCCAGCAAAAGTGTCTTGCCACAAAATGGGGGGCCGTTTATCAGAATGGACGGCCAAATAGGGAGGTGAAATGTGTTACAGAGGTGGGTGCGGAGAAAGCACTTTAGCTGACGCTGAAATGGAAGAATGTGGACGAGTGGATTGGTAACTTACCCTGAGTGATTTTGGTGTGGTGGCTGCAACATCTGACAAGCGAGTTGTGGGTAGTCGAATGGAGTAAGTTTCCAACCCAGGCAAATCTACCAATTTGAAGCAAAGTGGAAAAGATCTCACTTAACGCATCCAACGCGAGTTTTGAACGTTTACGTGGAACTTTCTGGTTGGAAGGCGGAAGCTCCGCATCGAACTTCGTGACATCTGGAGCCGACTGAAGCCTCAGTGAGTTATTCAATGCGTAAGGAGAATCCGCCATCATATGTTCTGCGTTCACTAGCCTCAGAGCTACCTAGAGGGTGAATATTATGAACTGAAAACCAACCTTTGAAAGCATCCTTCCGCCAGGCTTTTATATTCGCTTTCGTACATGGAGTTGAAGATGACTTTACAACAAACTGCGCAAACTCATCCACAGAAGTACGATCGACAGCACCTTGAACAAACTGAATGAATGAATGAATGCGATTGCCAAATTGAGACACCTCTCGTGCAATTGGGATCAAATAAGTCCGCTGAATCTGAGGTGGGTTATATCCGGGTGAGTTATCCATGGCTGTGGATCAGAGGATGTGGGGTAAATGATGTGATGACGAAGAACGATTTGTGTCAAGTCTCTTGAACCGACGATGGACGGCGTCATTGCATAATAATAATAAATATTGTTCAGTTGTAGCACCCTTTTGGTGCTTAGCTGCCAGGCCAACGGAAGAAGGCACGAGGGCTGGGATACTGCCAGGTTGCTCAGGCCTAGACAGCCCAGAAGCAGTCGAGATGCCGAGGTTGGATTGTAACCACGAGCTTTCCAGGCCGTAAGCTAGTGCCTTAACCAGTGAGCTACTTCGAGCTCAACACATTCCAGAAGACATATGTCACACCCCATATACGAATTACAAGTGTTTTTTTTCATGAAGTAAGGAAGCTATAGTTAGGATATACAAACAAGTAAATGGCGTGGGGTAAGCACAATTGAAAAACTCCCAGAACTCGCGTTGTATACTACATGGGTTCTCAGACCGTAAGGCACTCTTTAAAGATAACTGGAAAATCGCTCTTAACTCTGAGTGGTCAAGTTTGACGAGCGCCAAGAGCAGCTCTGACGGCAATCTCAGAGAAGCAAGTATCTGTCGAGTTTTATGATCACATAAGTTTTTTTAACCATTAAAATTGTTCAAAGAGGTGTGGATAGAAATTGACAGGAGTAAATTGCTTAAAAAACAGAAGTACAGAGGGGCAGTCAAGTGAAACGGTATGTTGATTTCTTCTTACTTTCTGTTGGGGATATCAATATCCCCCAAAAAACTCTATTTTTATGTGTGCTACCGAACTTCCGGCATCTTCAAGGTCAAACTATGAATGTATATACGCATTGACATTTTTTCCCACGATCGCCTGTTGTTGGATCATTAAAGTTTGTGTCCGAGGTTTTTCGTCTTCTTACTATTGGCCGTGCTAGGAGTCTGGATCAAGCAACATAGCCGGGGATAAAGTATTGCCACGATCCGCATACGTGCTCGCTGCGTGACCGAACCGTAACACTTTCAGTGGCTGCATACACTGACTGAATGCGCCTCTACTTCCCAGTGACGCCCTTTCGTGCCCAGCTGTCATACACTCGAAGGCAGCGCGAGCACCAAGATGTCTTAAACTCTCCCAAGTGTAGACAGAAGCAATCGAGATGTCTAGGTTGTTCGAACCACGGACATCCTGTCGGTAATTTCGCGCCTTAACCACTGAGCCACGGTCTGTGCAGCTGCTACGATGATCATACCTATCAGTAGTCTCAAGTTCCTCATTCCCAGGCTTCAAAGTGGTGCAGAGGAGTAGGGTGTCCTGATTTAAAACAATGTAAACTGAAGGCGCAAAGCAACCGCCGAAACAGGGAACATCTACATTCCGTCCACAGTAACTTGCTCGGACGTACCACCGTCAGATAACACAACGTCATCAGTGTAATCTAATTTTACTAATCCTCCTCTAGGAGTGAGGTCGGTGCCCATGCCGGCAGGCCATTGGATAACATACTTCGTGAAAAATGAACAGAAACGGGGACAGGACAACCCTGGCGACCCCACTGGTTTCCGGGAAACTCTTGGTCAGCTGAATGTAAGCTCTAACACAACCGGAAGTGTGGGAACGAATGACCAATATTCATAAGCATGGGACGTCAGTGAAAATGTGGTCAATGTACCCCACCCGCCTAACGCTGCTGGATATCAGACATCGTAGCATTATTGGAGCTAGAGGCCATGTACTTCAACATCTATGTTTGAAGTGCTCGCCTTTCGGCTCTTTTTGGCGTATCGATACAACGATTTGTTGAACCGTTTTGATGTGAGCCGGTTTCCGATATGGCCTACTCGTTTGAAATAGTAGCATTTTTCCGCTACCCACGGAAGCTGAGACTACTTTCAGAGTTGAAATATCTAAAAGTTGATGATCCCTAGGGTTAACTCATCATCCCCTTCTGGTAGATACAGACGCTTCTGATGTCACCACAGCTTCTTTCCTTAATCAGAACATTAGATCGGCTGCCTCCTATCATACTCTGCAATACAGTGAGCACCATTATTTGGATGATGAAAGAACCTAAAGCGCTGTTAAATAGATTCTGAAACAGTCTTCTCGCCGATCACTCAAAACTCACAACCGATTGTCTGTTGGATTTAGGCATGAATCTCGCCCAGCTGTAACATTCTTCCGCTGCCTAGCTGCCATGCTACCCAAAAGGAGCACGAGGGCGAGGATACTGCCAGGTTGCCCAAACCTAGACAGGCGAAGTCGAGAGGCAGAGATCGGGTTCGAAGAACGAACCATCCGGCCAGTAGATTCGCGTTCTAACTATCACGCCCCTTTAAGCAACAAAACAAAGACGCACAGCTAAGATTAAAAAAATCTTGCGTCGTTGAATTAAATTGCCACGACACGAGGTAGTGCGCTGACCAGGAAGAAACCTAACGACCAGTATCTCATACCGCAGCTTTTTGTGTTGCTCCCTTGAACGCCCGCAACTTGAAACACCTCCATGTGACTCTTCATCACAGAGATGTTACCCAAAGATTGAATTCTGTGAGTCGGGGAAGTCATCCACTCTGCTAAAGATACCAATCCTGCGTTATCGTGATGTCCAGCACCTTCACAATTAGAACTGCCATTTCGTCATTCCACCGGTCACAAGTTAACGAGTCAGACAACCCTTTGAGTGAGTGTTGAGCATGAAAGACCTCTTCCGTTCATGACTGGCACTCGCTGTCCTATCACCGTCATTAATGATTAATTCGGAGTTAATTTCGCACTTGTGTCACATTATAAACGGCAATCAACCGTTTTGTCAAACGTTTTCAATTTTCGAAATATCAGCCTACATTCATAATCGAGCTCGAGAGAGCTGTGGTTAAGGCGCCAAATTACCGAACAGTAGGTCGGCAGTTGTCATCGGACATCTGCGTCCCGCCTGCTCCTGTCTAGGCTTGGATAACCTGACAGTACCTAAGCCCTTGTGCCAGAACAGACCATTGAATACGACGGGACCACTGAAGAAGTGCGCCTCCTCGAATATAATCACGAGTAGAAGGGAAGAAACCAAGTCCTACTTCATTTGGCTCCGAAGTAACCGATTAAGTAACTCAAAATGGACCAAACGGCGACTCGAAGACTATCCCAACCGAAGGAGGACAGCTCCGATCAGTCTCTCCCTGTTTCCATTGAACCAGAAAGAACAGACGAAAGTTGGAACAGTTACTTCGCAACAGCAAGAGGTGTTAACATGACTTGCATTGCGCAGAGGCTTGACGAGGATAACTCCAACTAGTGTACGATACTAAACCTTAACTAAACCCACAACTTTCATATTTTACGCATGAACCGTCTTCGCGACAACACGTTATTCATCTTAACACCTCGTTTCAGGACATTCTTCCACCTGAATCACATCCTACTTCGTGATCTCTTCTTCCTCCAGCAATTGCCTCACAATTCACTGTTCTTCACGGCCCTCGGGCGGCGGGCCGGTGAAGAGGATTCATGGTGTATTTCAAAGACTGTAAGTCCGTGACAGCGGGAGATAAACCCCTTATGTTGGATTCACGGTTAACTTCAGAGGCCTCTGGAGGGTTGCCCTAATCAACATCCTGATGCTGATGATAATCACTTTTGATGCTGGTTCGTTTTCGCCCAGTAACCTATCCAAATCAAATTTAGGCCACCCACAGTTACCATGTACTTCGGTGGTCATCACTATCACCAGCTATGAAAACCCTGTACTTGTTGCATACTGGGTACGGTTGTCATGGTTTCAGTCGCCGATGGTCTGCGGAGGTGGGCTAGACAGCTGCGTATTGGAAGCGGTAGCTGATATGATTGATTCCTAAACACAGTTGCCCCAGTGGATTTTTCATTGGAAAGATTAGGAGGGAAAGCCATGAGTTGAACGCAACAGTTTGGACGCACACGCGAAACTGAGTGCACGACTGAATAATGTCTCCAAACATACACGTGCCCAGTCAAGGGGCACCCATCCAAGGAGTGACCGGTATCCAGCGCAACTGCATACTGTACAGGTTATGGCTTCCAAACTTCACTGCCAAGTCATTGCTTTCTTGATGTTTTAAGTCATTACTCAACCTCCCGTGACTCATTTCCACTCTTCGCGGGGTTGTGCCAAAAGGGTTCTTCGAAGAAGTCGGCCGACTGGCATACGGAGAACTTGGCTGAGGCCTTTCTTCCGAAGATGATATCAGGCCTACGCCGCAGGTGATGCAGGTACACGGAAGCCGCTCTGGTCTTAGAAATCCGCATAAAAATATCATATTTGGGGGGATCAACAGGACTAATACAGCTACTCAGATAGAAAAATTTGTCTAATACCTCAATGAGGTCGAGCGCGAGCATGAGGTTGAAGTTCGAGCCCACTCAATCTTCCAGCAACGCATTACACTTTGCAGGTATTACGTACATGCTAAACCACGAGCCAGAAATTGTTAGATCATTTAGCGTTGTTTGCATTACAATGGTGTCATAAGACCCGGCATGCCTCTCACTGCAGTTAGAGGGTGTACAGTTTTGTTTGTGTGAGGTTGTCCCTGGCCTCTGACCCAGAAGTTTGAACGGCGAATAAACGTGCAGTGGGTTCCCTTCGGGGACCCTTACTAGAGCCGATGATTCAACAATCCGGCACGCTGGGCTTCAGGCAGACTGCACTGACTAGACAGCTCAGAGAGAAAGGTATTGTTGCCTGCCTTACAGCAGGCACCTTTTGAGAAGTCCCAAATTCTTCAGATTTGAAGGTATTTCGACCGTAATAGATAACTTTTAGGCGGAATTCCACACGGACACCACCTTACCGTTCGAAGTTAGGCGCTGCTACGGCCAAGAAGCCTATCCCAAACAAGATTAACCAAAAGTTCGGGCCGCTTGCCGGTCCAGTTTCAGGGCGAGCTCTGATTGGTCGAAAGCCTGTATCCAACAGCCAATCACGTCCGAATGCCGGTTGCTGGTTTCATCCAGAGAGTCCCTCAGCAGCACAAGGCCTTTGTGGCAAGACTTTGCGAGTGGAATAAAACTTTTCACGCCAAAATCTTGCATTTTGTTGCGTGTATGCTCGAACCAAAAATCACTCCAATCTACGTTAAGTTTTCATTGTTTTCACGCCAAAATCTTGCATTTTGTTGCGTGTATGCTCGAACCAAAAATCACTCCAATCTACGTTAATGTTTTCATTGTCCAAGAAAGCACTCTTGCTCCTGGAGGAAAAGTACTTTCGGAATATATTCCGAGCACCAGTGGAACTACGGGTTGCCTAGATGGGGCTCAAAAGTTTGGACGAGTATCCTGTCCGCCCGTTTCACTCCATCAGGGACACGTATAAGCTTTCAACAATTCATTTCCGTTTTGCGAATACTAAGGACCCATCAAGGGGCGTCAGAATTTTCTGAATGTTGTCACGGCGCACACCTTATATATAGCGCACTGCATAATTGTTCCTGACCTGGCTTTGGGCACCTTTGGTGGTTGCTTCCTACGGGAGCGCTAGCTTGTGAGGTTCAGACCAAAAAATGAGCTGAGGTGAGCACCGTTATTACGGTAGGGCACCGTCGGTCTCGATAAACCGTTGTGCAATAGGGGTGCGCGGTTTTCAGGACCAAACTTTATAACCCGTCCTGCATCAAGGGAAAAGATCGCTCTTCTTCAGTAAATGTGGATATTTCGGTCACAGCCACGTCGCAGAATGCAATACCACGCTGTACCACGGGCGCCTGGCAATACGGGTACTCGTATCGATGTCTCTGGCTGCTGCTGATGTAAGTGCTGCCCTTCCCTCTGAATTTCCTGTGGTTCAGTAACAAAAACGTTAACTGCCGAATACTCACTACCCTACAACCATAATTTTCATATAATTATATTCAAAGCGTTTGGGTGGGTAGGAGAGAAAAGGAGTGAGTAAGGAGGGATGTAATGATGGCCTGTGCTGAGGATCCCAGTACGGAACTTTGAGTGACGCGTAGGTTTAACAATCCCGAATATCAAAAGGAAGAATTGGGTACGTATTTCGACGGTACCATTTACACAAGGGTTAGCAAACGTGTACAACAAACCTCAGTTGTTCACGTTCGTAGCGTCAACAAGTTCACAGGTGTGTCACTGACCGACACAGTGCAGTGCCTCCGTCCGCGCACCAAATAACGGCGGGCGGAATGACGGCTCAGTAGCGTGGGTTGCAGTCGTTCCTTCCGACGACGGTCTCGTGATTCCCATTGGACGTGCAATCACGTGGAGCCCATGAGAAAAAGAGCCAAGGTGGGCTCAGCAAACGGGACATGAACGCACATGGGTAAGTAGATCAGCAGCGGACATTCACACACAGACACACGTGTTAATACACAAGTGTCGGAAAGGACGTCCTCTGCGGCAAGGTATGTGCCGGTTACGAATAAGCAAAACAACTGGAGGTCAAAAGTAAATTAATGGGGGAATTATCATAACGTCAAGTTACATTCAACACTATCAATCATTATCATAAATTTGAAGGTCATATGGACACTCCACATACTCTGGCAGCTATACGACAACGGTATTGGATGTTACATGCTACCGCAGCCGTCCAGCGAATCATCATGGGATGCATGGGATGCAAAGTAAGGTCAGCTGTCCCAGCCGAACAATTATTGGCGGATCTCCCAGTTGCCCGAGTAAGGCCAGAATCCCCATTGCAACGACAGGTGTTGACTACTTCGGACCGTTTCGAACTCGCAAAGGCCGTATTACGAGGAAACGGTATGGCCATATCTTTACATGCTTACAGACCCGTGCGATACATATAGAAGTGGTTTATTCTCTATCCACCGTTTCAGTTCTCATGGCGTTCTCTAGATTCATCAATCGACGAGAACCTCCAAAGGAGGTGTACAGTGATGGAGGCACCAATTTTGTTGGGGGTCGAAACGGAGTTGAAACAACTTTTGAAGACTTTGGATTGCAACAAGGTGAAGGACGATATGTTACGACGACAAGTTGACTGGCGCTTTAATCCCGCTTATGCTAGCCACAGAGGTGGCATCTGAGAGGGGACGATACGATCGATTCGACGTGTTCTAAGCGCAGTTTCTCAGGAACAGCTGTTAACAGAAGAATCGTTGATAACTTATCTAACGGAAGTAGAACAAATACTGAAAAATCGCCCATTGGCCCCTGTGCTAGATGATCCTGATAACATTGAGGTATTGACCCCGAACCATTTATTGCTACCACAAGTATCATTCGTCCCTATTGACGAAGACCAAGGACCACGGCACGGGTATACTTGGCAGTGGAGACAGAGTCAGCCGGTGGCCGACACGTTTA